TCCTTTATCCTGGCTTGGGACAGTCATGATACCCAAAAAATGATATCATGGCGGAGTTGTAAAGATCAAACTTCTATGTTCTCAAAAATCATGAAGGACTAAATCATCTCTACGGCCTTCATTGCGATGATCATCATCATCATGAGTAGGAGTGGGTGGTGTTTGGCCATAGTCATATATCAACTTTAATGAAGAATTCGAACCATGGCGTCAATAATAAACCGGTTCTCCATGAGAGCTACTAGTTCTAGGAAGATTACGACCCTTAAGATTGCTTGATGCAATTGCAGCTTCATCATCTTGACTCCATAGAAGATCATCACCAGGATTATCCTGGCTTGGGACAGACATGATACCAAAAAAATGATATCATGGCGGAGTTGTAAAGATCAAACTTCTATGTTCTCAAAAATCATGAAGGACTAAATCATCTCTACGGCCTTCATTGCGATGATCATCATCATCATGAGTAGGAGTGGGTGGTGTTTGGCCATAGTCATATATCAACTTTAATGAAGAATTCGAACCAAGGCGTCAATAATAAACCGGTTCTCCATGAGAGCTACTAGTTCTAGGAAGATTACGACCCTTAAGATTGCTTGATGCAATTGCAGCTTCATCATCTTGACTCCATAGAAGATCATCACCAGGATTAACAACTTCATTGCTGACCCATTCATTGTCTCATTGGAACTCTTCAAATATTAAAGGGTTGAAGTTTGTTCCTTTTTCACGCCGCTTCTGAAATTTAGTTGCTATCTTCCGATTATACTGAATAAAAACTAAGTCATTCAACCTCTTATGCTTCAACTTGCTTCTTCTTTTTGTATGAATCTAAAATAAAGATAAAAAATATATTTGATAAGTATTTTGATTTAATTAGTTAAAATCTTGTGTAATTTGAAAATTGTAGTCGGTACTCAAAATTGTAAGTCTATTACTTTCAAACTCGAAAGTGCTCCAATTATGCTCAGAGTCAGAAGAGGTACAACAAAGACCAACTATGCGTTGTGCGAACGATTGCAGCTCCATAGCGAGTCCACTAAAAACATCCCACCAATCAACTCTAAATTAAGCACAAATAAAATATTAGTTAAATTTTAATATATTCAAACTAATTTTTAAATATAATAAAAAGTATCACTTACGAGGACTCTTAGATTTTCGTTGCTTAATCGCGAGCTGTTTTGCAAAACTTTCTCTCAATTTGTCATAATGTGTCGCTTGATCACTTATCTTGGTCTGCAATGTTTCATCGGTGACCATCTTTTCAAGCACATCGTTAAACATTGATCGTTGCCTTGATGCAGAAGTGGGATCGGTCTATTTGAGATCAAAATATTTAGAGAGATTTAAAAACAAAGCTGCCCCATACAATTTGACCTCCATCTGGACTTCCCATCGTGTCTCAATGATCCCAATTAGGCTTTTCAAAACTCTAGGCCTATTTTCAAATGACTCGCTGATTTTCTTCTTGACACAATTCATGGCTAGTGAAAGCTCTGGCATTGCCAGTTTCTTATCAGCATCAACTATACTAAAGATAACTAAAAGCGGCTGTGAAGCTCTTATGCAATCTTTCACTGCACTCCAGAATCTTGTAGACAATACAATATCACTAACCTTCATTTGTGCTTCTGTGACAGCCAATTTAGATCAACTTCAATCCAGACCACTAAATTGATTTCTCAATGCTTCTTTTTGTTTATATAGATATTGCAATGTGATAAACACCGTTGCAAATCTAGTAACTCCAGGTCTTATAAGATCCTTTCCATCCGTCTTTTGTCTCATAAATGAAAGTAGTCACACGTCTTGCTTTTTCAATGTGGAACTAAAAATCTGATATCCTCCAACATCAAATTCAAACAATGTGCAGCGCAGGGAGTCCAATAAAGCGTGGATATCTTGTGCTTTAGAAGCTTTCCCGTAGCCTTATAGTTAGAGTCGTTGTCTGTCACCACATTCACTACCTTGTCTTTTCCAACTTCGATTTTTTCTCAAGCAAACATGCTAGCAATGTTGCATCTTGAGATTCACATGATGCATCAATAAAAAATGTACCTTCTGGACTATTGACAAGGAAAAATAATCAAGTGTCAATTCCTTCCGTCAGGCCATCCATCATACATGAGTGTGCACCCGTATTCCTTCTAAGTAAGCTCATGTTTCTCTCTCAGCTTCTCTTTCTCTTTCTTTGCTTTTTCAAGAAGTGGAACACGCAACTCGTGATAGCCAGAGAGGTTTAAGTCCTGGTCCAAACTGTCAAATTGACTCCACCATGATCTCATAGCTCCTGGAGTTTGCTGCATTAAAAGGAAATCCGTTTTTATAAAAAAAATCAGCAATGTGCATAGACCCACTTTTTCTCGTCCTTGCTTTTTGTACATTGCTCTAGTGAAGCAGCATTGTGTGGGGCCTTTTGAGTCTCTTTCATTAACAACCTCTTCAGGAGCTTTGCGAATGAGGGAAGCAATTGATTTGTTTTGTTTGAGCATTTTTGGTGGAACATTAAAGAATTGTGAAACAACATTTTTTCTCTTGGTTGCTGTCCCAGAACTCGGTTAAAAAGTTGAAGTATCTATTTGAGTCAAAGGTACATCAACATCATCCTCATCGCCGTCATCTTCAATATGTACCAGTTTACTCCTGGATTTCCTCATTAAATATTCTCGCGTCTCCCTCATAAGTTCTGTTGTCGTGTGAGGGCATTTAGCAACATCTCTATACTTGCTAGCTAAATGTTGTTTTAATCTCTTTATGCTAGAACACATTTGCTTATTACAGTACTGACATTGGACTAGGTCTTTGTTGTTCAAGTCTGGCCAAAATCCATGATTCCATCCTGGGTCATTAGATTTGGCTCTTCTAGCGGGATCTTTAGATGGATCATACACGGTTTCACCTTCACCGTCCGCCATAACTAATATGTATAAAAAATTAGTTTAGAAATAATGAAAAATTAACAATACAACCAACCAATAAAAAACTAATAATAAATCAATATACATTGTATAAATTATAAATTATAATAAATAATCCTAAAATTTATAATTTTGAATGATAGTTTGTACTTTGTACCCTAAATTGTGTCAAAATATTAAATTATACAATCTATCTAAATAACACCGAATTGATAGATTGATTAGAAAACAGTGATACTCTCAAAAATATGGACAGTAAATTAATATTTCTCTGTAGACTGTAATGGTAAATTTGAAATTATTATTTTCATAAATTTATAAATTGACTGATAAAGATTAAAAAATAAGAAAATTTGATGAACTTAAACAAATAACTAAGTAATATTGACAATATTAAGTTGTGTAAACGGGAATAATATTAAATAATAACACTTTTTCTAAAAAACAGAATATTAAATAATAAATAATGAACTAATGTCTTCTTTCAAAAATAAACAAGGACTCAGCAACTCAGCAGTGAGTGTATGCAACTCAGAATACTATATGTGATAAAATAGAAATAATTGTATATAACTATAAAACTTAATTAAAAATACTAAAAAAGTAAAAAAAAAAAAACTTGTGCACCTAAGACAGACGATGAGACCAGAAATCGAGAAGAGAGTTGAACCTGAGAAGTCGTCTGCTTCAGCGAGGGACAGGGCAGGGAGGGCGAGACATCTTCCTGGAGCGGTTCGTCTTGTCTGCTTCCTGCGGCAAGTCTATTGTGGCTTGGATGATGGACAACAAATGTCGAAAACTTTGTATTTCGTGAGTTTATTACGGAGTAGATTATTTTGGGGCTTTGGAGTCTGGGCTTTATAGTTAATTAATTAAATTAGTTTCCTAAAATTAGTTTCCTAAAATCTATTTTATTTTTGGGGCATCCGGGATTCTGGGCATGTGGTCGTGTTCGACTTGGGAAAAAGGCGCCGAGCTGTCGCCTTCATCGCGCTTGGACGACGCTTTGACGACGCATGACTCGCCTTTTCTTCTTCTTCCGGCGAGGCGAGTAACTCCGACGAGCTGTCCCTAACGCTAGGATGCCTAGTCAGCGACTAGGCGACGCCGTGACAAGCTTTGTTACGACAGACGACATCGCTAGCTGAGAGTAATATTAGGACCCATGCCATCGAGATCCAATTTCACATTCACCGAAATTTGATGCACCGGCCATCTATTGAATCCGGGTTGGGTTCATTTCCTAATGGTTTCAATGGAGTCTCATCGTCACCGGCAAAAAGTCAAAAACTGGTTGCTTTTAGTGATGAGATTGATCCCCAAACCAAAGAAGGAAGAGACTAGTGGGAATGGAAATGGTTATCATCAACCGAATCGTAAGATATTTACTTGGCTAAAAATTCAATCAGGAAGACGGTTAAATAATTTTTTAAAGAACATTTGACTACTTTTCCGATTGAATTTTTAGCTGAAATTTGATTGGAATAAACTAGACATGATGAAGAACATGCTCAAAAAATTTCACGAGGACCCCCAAACAGTCTCGGCCGAACGGCGGTTCCCATCAGGGCGGCTGACATGAATTGTCCTCATTATATGTATTTGCTACTCCCTCCGTCCCATTAGAAGGTTCCCACTTTCCTTTTTTGGACGTCTCGTTAGAAGGTTCCCATTTCCATTTTAGGTAACAATTAACAATCTTAAGTGACAAATTAATCATTAAATGTATTAAAAATAATGCATTTATAACATCACAATTATCAATATTAACTACATTATAATATATACGTATTAAAATTATTTCTCAAATTATACTCGAAGTACTTTATTTAATTATTGCCTAAATAACTGTGCCGTTTCGCTATGGGAACCTTCCAACGGGACGGAGGTAGTATTATATAATGTTAGCACCAAATGTTGCCTTGGTAATCAGAGTTTAGAAGTAATATTTATAATCACTAGTATTAGTAGTACATATTTTCAGTTGTAACAATTTCTCACCACTCTAATGAACTACGTATAAACTATGCATGCATGTGTAGTGCTTTACGTATGATATTCCAATATGAATTTCAGGGTGCGCGGTGGGGGATTTTGCTGGACCTTACATACTTGCCATGTCTTTCCAACTCTAGTCCGCTCCCATTTCTCCGCTGTCATAATATTATTCAATAATAATAATTAGCCTTATTATATTATGATGATGATGATATTTATTATCAATGGAAATCAATTCCTTCCTTGTTTTTTTGGTGATCATTGTCAAGTGGATAAGTATAATCACCTTGCCATTTTTTTATTGCTGTTTTTTGTTGTTGTCACTATTATTATTATTACCAACTCAGGAGAGATTATATTATTCTTCATCCTTGTTTTGCCTTGTGAACAATTATAGACCAAATAATTTCAATTTTTAATTGACTTAACTGGAAAATAGGAGTTGGTAATCTTTCTCCATCCCTTTATTCCCACCCACTCTTCTCTTCCGAATCAGCCTTCTGCTGCCCTACTCTCATTATTCATCAAACAGATGAATTCTGTTTATTCCAAACATCATTAATAGGCCTTTTCACTTATATAGTGCTCCTAACAGCTGGTTGTGTTAGCTGTTTTGATTGACTGTTTATGTTAGCTGACTATAAATAATTCTTTGATAAAATTGGTTGTTTCAAAATGGCTGATAGAGTGTAACTCATCTAAATTCTAAAAGAATGAAAGAAGCCAATCTAAAAAGCTGCCCCACTTGGCTTTTCCTACCAGCTTTTTTTCCAGCTTTTCAAACTCAACGAGCCAATCTAAAAAGCTATTTATCAAGCATAAATATTGACTGCTTTGACTAATGAAACAACTAAATTTGGTCAAACATGCTAAAAGTTGGCTGATAAGCCATTTGCCAAACATACCGTTACTGTTTTAAATCGCATTTAAAGACCCACAAATCCACAATGTACAAATATACGTATTTAATTATTGACATTAAAAAATTAGTTTTCGTTGTATTTATATATTCACAAACTACCGTCCATAAATACAAACTATGTATAGTTAGGCTTGGACTCGGGCCGAGTGGCCCGACCCAGAACCGGCCTGGGACCGGTACTGTGCTGAACCGGCCCGGCCCAGTGGCCTGGCCAGTGACCGGTTCGGGTAGGCCTGGCCCGGGGTTCCCGGTGTGGGCTCGGCTCATCCAAAAGCCGAACCGGCCCGGTCGGTTCGGTCCTGGTTCCGGGCTTTTTATTTTTATTTTTTTCCAATTTTTTTTTTAACTTTTTGGGTTGGGCTAAGTATTTTGGGCCATTTGGGGTGGTTTGGGGGGTTGGGGGTGGGAGGGGGGTTAATTAGGAAAAGGAAAAAAATAAATAAAAAGAGGCCCGGGACCGGACCCGGTGGCTACCCGGGCCAGTCCTGGGCCCACCTGTAATAACCCGGAGGCTCGACCGGGTTTAGGCCAGGCCTGGCCCCGAACCAGCCCGAGTCCAAGCATATGTATAGTATAGTTTTATACAGTTTCAAACAATTTGTTTCAACTTGAGTTAACATCCCAGGGTTACATTGAGAACACCCAATTTAAAAATTATGAGGGGTATAAAATAAAAATACACTATTTTGAAAGTAGATCCCCATTTTGAATTTCATGTCGTATCTGTTGTTTTAAGACCGTCAACATTTATTTAATATTCCCAGAACACTTTAATATTATGTAATTCTGTTAATTAATTGGATTGGATATATAACAAAATAAATTTGCGTGGATCTACCGAGTACCGATACATCAATGAGGACAATGACAAACAAATTAGGCTAAAAAGGTTTCAGAATTACTCCCTCCATCTCATTTAAATCTTTACACTTTCCATTTTGGGACGTCCCATTTACTCCTTTATGTTTCCTTTTTTGGAACTCTTTTTTATTTAACATGTCCAAACTACCCTTTTCTACTCACATTTTACAAAACCTCCTTGTTTCATTCTCCACAAAATCTTCAGGGCCAACCTCTTGTAGATGTGTCTACATAATTGTGTAGAGGCAGCCATATGTAAAGCTCTACCCATTCGTTGTTGTTGCATTCATCTTGCTTTCTTCGTCATCCTCTCCAAAATATTTTGATCCAAATTCACTGATAAAATCCCAACTTACACTCTAGTCGGTTCCTAATTATCACTTTTGAAGAACAGACACTGCCGGATTCAATGGCTTTCTGATGTCGTCAACTGCTCTCCCAATTTGACCTTCTCCCAATTTGACCTTCACTCTACACTGCCCCAGATTCTCCATTGTTTTCACTTCAAATCCTTCAAATGTGCAGCATATCCTCAAGACCCGTTTCTCTACTTACCAAAAGGGGATATCTCAACATCGACGGCGGGAAGTGGAAGTTCCAGAGGAAGGTCGGCAGCCACAATTGATTTATGTTACTACCGTTTTGCAATTTATCAAAGTCTCGGGTAATTCAACAAAGCAACAAATTTATACGGAGTAGTTGCTTCAATATGTGAAGGATGTGGTGAACTATGGGAAGAAAGAAACGAATGATATCACTAAGGGCAGGATAGGAAATCTTTATCTGATATTGGTTCTCCTAAAATAGTGTGCCAAATCCAAACGTAAAGATCCAACTGGGACGAAGGGAGTATTTAGGTATAATAAAACAAACATGCACATATACTAGCTTTTAAAAACCTAGCTACCTATCTCGATCTTTAGAGTGACTCTATAATTGAAAATGACTAATGATCAAAATCTCCTTACTCTGGGCCTCTAGGGTGGAACTAGAACAAAATTAGAGGGGGGAGTAAAAAAAAATCAAATCGTCAGGTTGGAAAGATCTATAATTTGTACTGTTTTTTGGGTATATTTACAGTAATTTGATCTCAAATTCAATGCAGAAGTGTTATTCCCATTTGTATGAAGTGACACTTTATTTAGACCTTGTTGGGGAATATTATCCCGGTCTACTACTGTTCAGAGGCCCAAGTCATCACCCGGTATGAAGCCCGGTCAGCAAGGCTCATTTAGGCCTACCCGGCCCGTTTCGGCCTAACCGGCCCACTTAGGCCTGTTTCAGCCCATTAGCCCTTTGGCCCATTAGCAAACCCTCCCTTATTTCCTATAAATAGGGAGGAGGGTTCCCATTTGAGGGGACTGGCTTTTTCTTTTCTCCTTGGAGGCTTGGAGCTTGGCTCCTGGCTCTTTCTTTTAGTTATAGCAAGCTCCATTAATGGAGAGGGAACATTTTGTATTATGTGATTGGTGAGGAGAGCGAATTAATGAAAAAGAGCGGACTTGGACGTTAGCCTAAAAAGTCCCGTGGTTTTTTCCCTTTCCGGGTTTCCACCTAAAAATAGCTGGTTTATACACTTTTATATTGATTATTCACTTTTATACGGAATTTATGCTCCTTAATATCCGAAGTTATGTTGGGCTTTCAGATCTACGGGACTAAATCTCAACATTGGCGCCGTCTGTGGGAAACATTCAAAAAGTTTCACATCAATTATCCAAAACAACTATTTTTGAAAATGGTCAGAATCAGTTCTTATCACACAAATGATGGTTCGCGCCGTCACGGAAGGAGTCAAACTCCGAGAAACCAAACCCCTCAGGGACAATCCAGCCGAGGATCATATCCTCATTATGGTGGGGATTTTGTCATTCCTGAAGCCCTAAGGAGGAATACTCAGGCCATGTGAGATATGGCCCAGGTCATGCAACACATGGCAAACGAGGAAGAAGGAGGATCCAATTTCACAGGGGAGACTCCCCACACAGAAACAACCACAGCGTCATCCCACTCACGGGCCCATCGGCATAATCGACGTGGCGCTCAAACAACAGGGCATCGTATTCCCAGTGACCGGACCCCGATCGGGTCACAAGCCAGGGGACCTACTCCTATTGGCCGTCATTTCTAGCATGACGAACGGAATCATACTAGGGCCACGCAGAGGCACTGGGATTGGAAGTATGCAGATTTGAGAACTCCACCACCGCCCCCTTTGATGGCCCAGGAGGAAGAAATGGCCGAAATGAGGAGGCAGATGAATGAAATGAGAGATCAGATGAATATGGCGCCCGTAAAACCTGTTCCGATCCAGCTCGGGATCACTTCCCCTTTCACCAGGGAAGTTATGTATGCGGATATCCAGGGAGGTGCCAAACCACCGACCGGTCAGATTTATGATGGGGTAGGCGATCCCCAGGTCCATTTTAGGAGTTATCAAGGAGGACTCATGCTACTAGGAGCGCCAGAGGCTGCCATCTGCCGATTGTTCTTCAGTACGCTCAGAGGACCCGCCCAAGAATGGTTCAGGACCCTGCAACCTGGGTCGATCAGCAGTTTTGCCGAACTATCAACGTTGTTCCTGGCCCAATTTGCCTCCAGTGCCAACCCAAAGCGGCATTTCAGCTACCTAACTAGCGTAAAGCAGAACTCTAAGGAGACCCTCAATCAATTCTTGAAAAGATGGAGGGATGAAACTCTGACGGTCGGAAACACGACGGATGACACCGCCATCACCCTATTCATTAACGCTCTCCGAACGGGAGAATTATACAAGGATTTGAAGAAGTATCCGGGTACGGCGTATGCCGAGGTGTTAGATAGAGCCCGCAAGCATGCTGCTCTGGAAGAAGAGATTATGATCAGGGACAAGGTCGCTGCGCCTTCTGCCCCAATCAAGATGGCCGATCGGCTGGGTCCTATCGCAGTGGCCGCTCTCCCTCCTAAGCAAGGGCGATTTACTCCCCTGGTCCTGTCCGTGGCAACAATTTATCAGAACGAGAAGGACAACATTCCCCTTCCGACTGATTCTTCAAATTATATGGGAGCAGACGAGTCTGCTTTTTGTAAATATCATAACAGGAAAGGTCACGCCACCAACGCTTGTAGGGCACTACAAACGGCCATTGAGGACTTGATCCGGCGGGGTCATCTGGGCAAGTACGTAAGTAAACACCCGAATGCGGTAGGCATTTTAAAGCCGATCAGGAAACCCAACAGCTGGCGACGGGATGCCCAACGTGATGCCCAGCCCCAGAATGACGTATATATTCCTCCCAGAGACGAACCAGAGGGCTCGGGAGGCCCCGGCAAGAAACCTCGAATGGAGGTCAAAGTTATATTTGGGGGCGGGGAAACAGGGGATTCGAACGCCGAACGGAAAAAGTTCGAGAAAGGAAGGACGGACCCAATCACATTTGGGCCGGCTGATTTACCTAACTCGCCAAGCCCGCACAGGGATGAATTGGTGGTGAGCATGTGCATTGACAATGCTTTGATTCGCCGGGTACTGATCGATACGGGGAGCAGTGTGAACGTATTGTATTTACAATCGTTCGAGAAAATGGGTCTACAGAGAAGTCAACTGACCCACCTAAGAACCCCACTGGCAAGCTTCACCGGTAACTGTATTGAGGCTGAGGGGGCCGTTCAATTGTTAGTTGAAATTGGGGACGAA